CAGAGAAATAGCGTCTTCTATGGGCACTCCTGCTGCCTTTAAAAAGTTGTTCAAATTTGATCTATCGTCGTATTTCAGGTGTTTTTTTGTTTTGAGTTTCTCCAGAACACTGGATATGCAGAGAGGAATGGCCTTTTCCTGCAGTTTCATGCTTGCCACTGAGACCACCGGCTGTGCTACAATGTACTGCCTTGGCACACCTGACATGTACAGCGTTTGTGTGCTGTTCTTCAGGAGGTCCATAAACCCCCGCGTTAAAACACTGCCAATTCCCTCAATTCCAGATCTAGCAAATCCTCCTGCAAATTTCTCTTGCGCTGTGTAGTACTTTGTAAAGTGTGCGTATATTGCAAGGCTGCTCTTGTGCTTTATGTATGCACCCATCACCTCAGAGGCAAGCTCTGCGTTCTTTTTCTCTCCTATCCAGTTGATCTTGTTTTTTTCATCAATTCTTACAAATATCTTATCTTCCTGCACCTCGTACGTAAATGGATTCTGAAGGCGGGGTAAATACTCGCTGATAAAAAGCTTGTATACATCACTGTCTGTTGTCTGCTTCAGACGAAGCCTGAATATATTTATCTCTCCTGCGATGAACTCTTCAATGGACTCTGCGCTCGCTGCGGCTGCCAGCTTAGCCGCGTAGTGCTGGCCTATATCATCCTCGTACGTATCTTTAGATAGGATGGAGCCCACGGGGAGCTGTTTGTATCTCTCTATGTACCCGTACACCTCCCTTCTCTTCTGCACCAAAGACTGGTACTGAATCATCGTGAGTATTCTTGGGACTGCGTCAATGTACAGCCCGATTAAAGTACTTCTTTTCATTCTTTTTTAAAAATAGATGTTTAAGAAATACGTAGAGACAAGAATCGAAATATTCGATCGAATAAAAGCACAGAAAAAGACAGAAAAACAGGAAGAAATCTCCATAAGAACAGCGCACGGAGAGTGCAAGGGAATGAGCCACAAAACAACACCGTATGAGCTCTCTAAGACAATGAACCCAGACCACAAAGAGTTCATTGTAGCCCGCGTGAACAACGAGCTGTGGGATGCGCAGAGGCCGCTAGAGAAGGACAGTCTCGTAGAGTTCCTTACCTTCGAGCACGAAGAAGGACGCAAGGTCTTTTGGCACTCTTCTGCGCACATTCTTGGAGAGGCATGCGAGAGCGCTTTCTGCAGCTATCTCTGCCTTGGGCCGCCAACTGACTCTGGATTCTTCTACGAAATGAGCATGGACAGAAGCGTGGTCCCAGAGGACTACAAAGTCTTGAGAAAAGAGATGAAAAAAATTGTGAAAGATAACCAAAACTTTGAAAGACTTGAAATGACCAAGAGCGAGCTATTGGAGATGTTTGCAGATAATCCCCTAAAAGTGGAGCTGATCAAAGACAAAGTGGAAACAAAGAGCACAGTATACAGATGCGGCCCTCTCATTGATTTCTGTCTCGGTCCGCACATTCCATCTACAGGATACGTCAAAGCCATCGATGTTCTGCACAACAGCAGCTCGTTCTTCCTGGGAGATTCTAGCCGCCCTGTTCTGCAGCGCGTCTATGGTGTTTCATTCCCATCGAAAGAGCAGCTGGCTCTCCATCTCACACAGCTGGAAGAAGCAAAGAAAAATAACCACAGAAAAATAGGAAATGATCTGAGTCTGTTCTTTTTCTCGCAGATGAGCCCGGGATCGTGTTTCTTCCTTCCCAAGGGAGCACACATCTACAACGCCCTTGTTTCTCTTATGAAGGAGCAGTACAAGAAAAGAAACTTCAAAGAGGTCATTACTCCCAACGTATTTACCAATGAGCTGTGGAAAACTAGTGGACATTTGGACAAATACAAAGAAGACATGTTTTGTTTTAAGGCAGATAATACCGATATGGCGCTTAAGCCCATGAACTGTCCCGGGCACTGTCTGCTGTTTGAGCATCTCAGCTGCTCGTACAGAGACCTCCCTCTGAGAATCGCAGACTTTGGGGTTTTGCACAGGAATGAAGTGTCTGGTGCGCTGACGGGTCTTACGCGAGTGAGAAGATTCCAGCAAGATGACGCGCATATATTTGTGTCTTCTGACAAGGTTGCAGGAGAGATACAGATGTGCTTGGAGTTCTTGGAGGAAATATACGATCTTCTTGGATTTAAGTATACGGTGTGTCTCAGCACAAGGCCTGAAAAGTACATTGGCGAGGTGGAAGTATGGGACAAGGCAGAAGAGCAGCTGAAAGACGCCCTGGAGAAGAGCAGAATAGAATGGAGCATAAATGAGGGAGATGGCGCTTTTTATGGGCCTAAGATAGACATATCTGTGAGCGATGCCCTGGGAAGAAAGCACCAGTGCGGAACTGTGCAGCTGGACTTCCAGCTTCCTCTGCGATTTGACCTTAAGTTTGCAAATGCTGAAGGAACCATGGAGAGGCCTGTGATGATACACAGAGCCATTCTGGGAAGTGTGGAAAGAATGACAGGAATACTCCTGGAGCACTACAAAGGAAGACTCCCTCCCTGGCTCAACCCAAACCAAATAGCAGTCATCCCCATCACCAATAAAGAGGCGGAATATGCAGAAAAAGTAGCAAAGGAGCTCTTTGAGATGGAGGTTCTTCTGGACACCTCTGAGTGCACGCTCAACAAGAAGATTCTCAACGCAGAGAAGCTCAGATACTCTTACATTCTGATAGTTGGCGCCAAAGAGGCAGAGGCCCAGGAAGTTTCGATAAGAAACCTGAAAGACCAAAAGACCGTTACACTTTCGCTTTCAAATGCCAAAGAGATACTGGTGCAGGCCATAAAAAACAGAGTTGCAGTGCCATCGGACGCCCTGAACTTCCTTCCCCAAGAAAAACCCTCTGCAATGCCCGTGCCGCTATCGCAGGCGCTAATATGCATAGAAAAGATCATAAAGAATCTAAAATCAAAAATCCTCGACACTCTAAACATTACTGCAGTACGAAACTAAGCCGCTGATTAATAAACCAATGCAGGTTCGACCTCTCTTCTATTAACACCATCTGTTTTACTAAGCTTTGCTGTGTCCATCTTGCCGTTGAAATAGTATTGTTTGGTACTATGTCTCTATATAAACTTGCTATACTTCTTGCAGTGTTGCCATTGTGCGTGAGTATATTCTTACTATTTTAAATAATTTTTTAAACATAAACACTTTTACAATTAATTTCGTACACTTTTTTTCTTGTGCAGCACTTATTCTGTACTTTTTTCAGAAATAAAGTCTCTTATGCCACTATACTTTTCTTTGTAGAACAGAAGACCAGAGAATAAAGAAAGAAGAGGATCTGCATTAGAAGATGCGATTTATTCGTGTAGTTAGATCTTTATTTAGAATTATTTATGTTTAACATCTATTAGCACCTATACATTATCTTGAGAGGTTTTAAATTTCTTTGGGTAGTAAAAAGAAAGAATGGAGTGTAGGAGTTGTGGGTCTTTCTTTATGCTAGGCAGATCATCTCCTCCAGATTCAAACCATGCATTTAGAATCTCTGTGAGATCAGTACTATCCTTCTTATTGCATTCTGGGCTGCCATGATGGTCTATCGCAGAGTCTTGGTCACCGGTATTTATCACTACATCTGTAATGAAAACGTTAAAAATCGTGTTGGAGAAGAGGGGGAGCTTATAAAAAGCCCATATTATTTCATCAGTGGAGTATTTCGACAGAACAGACAGGAGCCTTATGGCAGTCTGTCTATTTATGACTTGCAGATGGAGCATAAGCGGCTGAAGAATCTGCGCATATTCTACGAAGAGCTCAGACTTTTTTATGTAGAAGAGCATGTAAAAATTCAGTATGTTGCGCAGAGCTCTTCCGTACACTTTTATAGCTCGATGTATGCACGCAGAGTCTTTTGCCTTAGTGACAAAGACCGCCAGGGCAATGGCAGAGTATACAGTGTAGCTTATTCTTTCTATATGGGGCTCATCACTTCCCCACTTTTCAGCAAATGCCTTGTGAAGAGAAAGTGTTTCATCAATGGCGTCTCTTATGCTCTCGTTCAAGGCAGAGTTGTTTTCAGGGCTATCGAGATACTTGTATACATCGGAGGCTAGAGTGGAGTTAAACCCTGAAATAAATACATATACGGCATCTGTAACCCGTGGGTTTTCGTGGTACTTTATAAGCAAATTCATCACAAATAAATACGTGGTGATGTGCAGACAAGAAAAGTTTTTTCTTCTTGTTTTTATTTCGAACATGAATACGTACGCAAGCAAAAACCAAGCTCTGTAATAATAGAAAACTTTCTGGTACTTAATTATTTTCTCAAACTTTTTTAGGTTGTACCTGGGAGAGATCCGCATGCTGCACAGCTCTGAAAAAGAAGAGATTAATGTTTGGTTGTACTCCTCACTTTCCGAGGTAAAGTCTGCTACGATAGATTCTAGCTGTTGGATGGAATATGTAGGGTACAGTCTGAGACCCGTTAGAAGATATCCAGGGTACCGACCAAATATATATTTCATGTATGGATGGAGGTCCAGCACAGTGTCTATTGCAATTTTTGTTGGCAGAAGAGTAAAATTGTGCCTGTGAAATCTTTGCATGATTGTTGACATAACATAATCAATAGAGTATCCTTTTACAGTAATTAGCGATATCGTGTACAAATACACATCTGTTCCACTTAGCGTGTAGTTTATTCTGGATTTAAAGACCATATTGTTCAACTCATCCAGAATTGGACTGATATACGATCGCAAGTTCATGTCCACGTGGTTATTCACCAGAGGCACATCTAGTTTGATATCTTTGCAGGCCTCTCTGGCTATACTGGAAATATTTATGTAGTCTAAACACGAATTGACTGGCTCGAAAGAGTGATGGTCAGCATTCTTCAGCACAGAAGAAACGGATAGATATGTGAGCATAGGCAGGTTAACAGCAGTCTGAGGGAGGAACTGCACTTCATATAAATCGTCAGTGACCAGTATGTATGTGTGGATGTTCTCTGTGGAGTACCATCTGCTCTCAGTGTCCATCTCATTTACAGACAGTTTATGAAAATCTTTATTCAGTATGCCTAGTTCTCTGAGCTGATTCGAGTCGCAGAGAACATCCTCATCTGATGGCTGCTTTTTGAGTCTGTACATACTTTGCACACTTTTCTTGATTGACACCTCAAACATACTCATGGAGTACTTCAAAACCTCTTCAAAAGAGCATTTGTCATTCAGCTGTTTTCTCTCGTGTTTATTTGGCAGAGCTTTATTGAGAATCTCAGAGGCTCTTGCAACAAAATTTAAATAGTTGTTCATTCGCTCCAATGTGCTGGAAAAGCTCTGCAAATATCCCTGGCAGTACTTATTAAGGATAGAACAGTTGGAGGGGTATATGCTGGCCAACATATACTGTCTATCTCTCTCAAATGACTCGATCGAGTGAGAAAAGGGAACGTGTGTTACAAACATCCCACCCGAGTAGTACAGATACTCGCAGCAGCAGTAGGTGTTGGTATCCCAGTCAGCACAGACTGTTTGGCTGCTCTCGAGGTTTTTAACTGCGAGATTGTAGTATTTCCCAAAGTGGTAGACATGAAAGGAAGAATTTGCATTTATGGGGTCTATTTCTGCCACGTACTGGTGTATATTTGCACTCTGCCAGTTGTTCTGGAGATAGTATTGCTTGTTAATCTCTTCTCTGCCAAAACAGTGTGTCTGAAAGTTTCTCTGCGGAATGCGCACTTTTCCCAAAGTGTAATGGCCCATCATTGCCTTATATGGAAGTCTGTTGTTGATCTGCACCGTCTTTTTCCAGTCATTGATTGTAAAATACTTTCTAAACACAAAAAGATTGCTGTAGCTGTGCTGTTCTTTTGATACGAGCTTGAAAGTCTGTGCTGGATCCACTGCAACATTTATGGGGTGAAGGAGCCACTCTATGTGCTCCCTCCAGCTGTTAAAATCGATGGGATTCAGAAACTCCACGGAAACTCCATCAAAATCAAACTGCAGAAAATCCGCATTCATCACTACGTCTTTAATTGCATACGTGCCTAGACACTGGTCGTGGTTTATCGCATGCTGGCTGGCATCAGAGTGCTCCAGTATTTGCATGGGTGTTGGCGTTATGGAAACACGAATGGCAAGATCGTGGCTTTTTTTGGCCATTATAACGATGTAGCACAGAACGCCCTGCAGCTCTTTGCTATATGCGCGCACCATAGTTTCTTTTCCTCTGTACCCAAAAACACTTTTAGCTATTTCCTCCATGGCAGTGTTAAATGCGAATTGAAAAACAAATAGCTTTTATTAGTCAGCCAGGTTGCAAATCACAAAGAGGTTTAATACGGTGTAATAACTGCTATTTGGTCTATAGAAGGATTAGCCCATCAAAGAGATCTCTTTCCAAGTGGCTTAGACTGAGATAGATGGCAGTTGGTTCTTGCACTATATTTTATTTTCTGGAGAGAATTGTGGCAGCTAATATTGGAATAAAATTATTTATCATTGTGCTCTTTTTTTCTCATGCTGAAAGCCATAGAAAGTAACGAAAGTCTGGCAAAAACATATTCTATGTCGCTGATAGAAATAGAGCTGTCGATCAAAAACAAAGAAGCAGAAGTGCACAGCTACCACCCTGAGCTCGAAAAGAAGATACAAGAGCTGGGCAACATAATGAAGAAGAAGGAAGAGAGCGAGTGTCTTACCGTGGAGACGTATCTCGACAGCATATTTGAAAAGAAGCTCATTGAGTTTGGAGAGGCCCAGGTGAAAAGAGAAATAGAAATGTTCGAGAGCAATCTAAAGGAAGCGTTCATCAAAGAAGAAAAAAGACTTTTATCTTCGCCGCATCCGCAGAGACTGAGTGTCCGAAAAGAAGAGTTTACAGACACAATCATAGAAGGGTGCAAATCTTTGAAAAGAGGAGACCAAGTGGGAAAGAACGTGTTTTCCTCCCTTATGCTTTATGATGCGTACACATTTGCCATATCAAAACAAACTCCACTGGATTTTCTTACATATATACACTGCACGCATGCAATCAAGGGAAATACAGCACAGGCAGTGAATGCCTACGTTGTGTCAAAGTGCTATAGCATGCAAAAGCTCGAAAAGTACGAAAATAGGTTTATGTTCGCCGAGCTGTATCACTATGTGAGAGCAGGGCTGTACACAGAAGCCCAAAGGTTCCTGGAGGAGAACAAGAACTTCTTTTGGCTGATATCCAACAACTTTTACTCGTCTTTTATGTACTGGATGCAAACTCTGGGATTCATCAGAGAAGAAAGAAAGTACTCGATGGAGTGGGAAGAGGTCCCAACTGAAAAGGACGATGCCTTCAAGCTTTTTTTCTACAGAGTTTTCACAGGAAGCACAGAGTGCATAAAGTCCATCGTTACGACAATAGAAGATTTTTTGTGGTACCAGATTATCATACAAAAAACCGTTAGTAGTCTCTGCTTGAAAAAGAAAGCGTACACAGACCTGGAGATATTTAAACTACTGGAGGGATCTATATCAGCGCCAAGACTCCTCCAATCTTCTCTTATTCTCAGACAGTGGAAGCACGCAATGAACATACTGCAAGACGAAACATTTAAAGCAGGCGAGTCTCTTTTCCTTTCGTATGCGATATCGCAGAAAAATAGGGAAGAAAATCCAAGACAGTATCCCGTTAAAAGAGAAAGATCGAGTGCAGAGCCAGCTGAGTGTATAAACCTGTTCGTGCGCGCCATCCAAGGAGTCACCACTTTATTTGCAAAACCAGAAGACAAGCTGTGCATAGTAAATACGGTGTCTTCCTTTATTTCAGCAGAGTGGCTTGAAGATCTTGTGGCAGAAGTGTTTATTTCCTCAGAGGACTACAGCGTGCTGGGGAATATAGACAATGAGGGAAGAAGACATCCCTCAACTATGCAAGAGTACGTGGAAGTATCTGAGAATTCTGTTATTCAGAGAATTTCAGAGTACTACACGCACTGCGGTGAGCTGGAGAAAGCCCTCAAGGTGTCCTACATTGGAGGAAGCGAGAACACACTGGAAATACTAAAGAGCATCCTTGTGGAGAAAATACAGACAAAAGACTATGCAGCCAGCAGCTTAGAACAGATGGTTAAATACTTCAACAATCCCCTTGTAAACTTTTTGTGGCAGGTTCTCTGCATAGGCGGATCCACAGAGAATTCCATCCCTCTTATCAGGCGCACAGGGCTGATTCCTGAGAACAATCCAGCGAGTATGCTGAAAAAGCTGAATGAAATCTCATCGCTCAGCACGGCAATAAAGGGAGTGATCCCAACAGCTCTTGTTATTATGTCGAAGAGACTGGGGGAGCATCCGCACAAAGAGAATCAGGACCTAGCAAAATCTCTCCTCTTATTTGCAGGTGCTCTGGAGATGGATAAAGAAGTCCTCTATGAAATTGTCAGTGCTATATCACCTCTTCTATAATAAATTTGCAGTTATTTGTTCGATCTTCTCTTTCATTTAATTCTCGTCTGCAAATAAAAGAAGAAAGCACAGAAAAAGAAAAGTGGATTATTTTCATGTACAGGTGGAGGAGTGTGGGAAGAGGGTAGAGTTTGAGAAACTAAGGACTTAAGAAAAAAGAGAGAATATTTTAGAGATTTAAATCGTGGAAATTCTCTGTGGATTATTTAAGCCAAAGCAAATACTTTTTTATTTAATGTTTAGAGGCGCAGTAGTGGGATTCCTGCTCTTTGCAGGGATATTTGCCACACAGATGGAGACAAAGGAAGGGCAAAAGACAGACGGACTGTGCGAGCACGGGTGCCACAAGGTCTTTGAGAGTCTTTTCGTTAAGACAGACATTAAAAAGGCAAAAGAAGAGATAGATAGCATGGAAGGCCAGTGTAAATACTTCTACAAATGGTTTACATCGACATATTTTGACTTCAATATAAAAGAAGGCGTGGAGTCTCTGTACAGATCGCTTTACTCCACATGCGAAGTGAAGGACCTAGCATACCTCGTGTATGCCAGCAAGATAGATCGCAGACACAACATCATAGGAGACGCAAAGGATGCAATATTCTACTACAGGGAAATAGCAAAGCTCGTGTTCCAAGAGTTTTTCCGGAAAAGAATTACACTTTTTGCCAAGTGGGAGTTTGCAAATCTTGAAAAGCAGGGAGAGAATAAGAAAATCATCAACTTCATAAAAACATTGACAAACAGTGGAGACAGCGTGGCTGCTGAGAATCTTTTGTCTCTGATAAAAATAGGACATGTGGAGCTGGAGCCGCACATTGACTTTCTCAAAGAGTCGGCAAGGAAGGGAAGCGCAGATGCCATGGGAATACTCGGGAATATGTACTACTACGGATGGGGAGTCACACCCAGCAGAATAACAGCTAGACACTACTATGCAGAAGGCGCAAAAAGCAACGATCCAGACTGTCTCAACGGTCTTGGAATGCTCCACATCGAAGAAGGAAACAAAACCAAAGGAAAAGTGTTTTTAGAGAAAGCATCAGCCATGGGCTCCCAGGCAGCGGACTACAATCTGTACCTTATGTACGAAAGCGCAAACAACTTTATGGGAGACCTGCACCTTATCAAAGCAGCCAAACAGGAGGGGTATCTCCCAGCGGTGTACCAATATGCTGAAAAATCGAGAAAAAAGAAGGAGTACAAGTCTACTACTGTATCCCAGTACAAAAGCATTGCAGTGTACCATTCAAAGGTTCTAGAGCTGGAGAAGATGGCAATTGAAAAGTGCAAAAACCACGAGAATGCTGAGGCATTTTACCTGTCTCTTTTAATAGGTGATATGGGGTCCAAAACAGGATACATGAACGCAGCATACATATTAAAAAACAGAGTCATCAATTCTTCTGCTATGCAGCACTACAAGCTGCCGTGGTTCAATAAGGCAAAAGAGCTCTTAGGTCTAGCGCCAAAAGATAAACAAAAAGAGCCAATGGCACAGAGATATGATGATTCAGAAAAAAGTGACACTGTGCCTGAAAATACAGATAGCAGAGATACAGCGGGCAGTACAGCCATAAAAAGCGGGATACATCATCCAGAGATGCTGTACATACTTCTCTGCCGAAGGATAGCAGAAATGGACAGCAGTGAAGCTGCTATTGAGCTGGGCAATGCGTACTTCTACAGCGTGGGAGTAGAGAAGAATCTGGAAAAAGCATTCTCTCGGTACTACACGGCGTCTCTTATGAAAGACCCGGAAGGAGACTACCTTGTGGGATGGATGTACGAAACAGGCAGTGGAGTATCTCAGAGCTACAGTCTGGCAAGAGAGTTCTACACGCAGATGTATAAAAGAAAAGACACAACGTATTTGCTCTACTGGGTGCTGATGGCTAGAGTCTTTTTAAAAATGCACATTGCAAAAATAGTGTCATTAGTTGCAGTGGGAGTTTCAGTTTTTCTCGGGTGGATTACCATTCCCCAGGCCGCCCTGCTCTTCTCCCGAAGAAGATCGCTGGATGCGTCATTGCAGGGCAAATCCAAGTAGAAACACTTTTAGAGGCATTAAAACTCATCAATTGAGGTATATCCCATACAGTGCTATTCATTTGCTTTTAAATAAATACATACATCATAGTAGCATTACTAAAGTTTTCTACAGTCTAAGCATCTTACACTGGTATAGTATGCGCTAAAACAATAAAAAGTAAACTAATGAATGATTGGCGTACTCAGTCATCGTGATATGCATTTAAATCCTTACAATCCAACAGCTTCCATAAAATTTTAATGAGTTTTCTACGGCACCAAGAACAACCAAGGATATCCTGTCCAGTTTGAACTCATTGAAGACCTTCTGTCACGCCAGAAACACCTATGAAAAGTACCACAATAAGCATAGTCTGTGCCTGTATATCAGCTATCATTGCAAACATTCCCACTAATTTCACCAATTTCAAATTCTACTCCTATTCTCTGCGCTGGTGCAATAGCCAAATAAATTCATGTATTATCCTTACTGCTAAATTATTCTGGTGTTTGTGTTGGTGTATATAAAAATTCAGCAGTTCAATTTCTGTTGGCTTATGGCTCTAATTAATTTTTGCATAATCAGACAGGAGAGGAATTATTGGCCGGTTAAATAAATGCACCCTGTGGACCAATAAGGAAATAAATTCATTCGTTGATCCATTGTAAAACAAAGAAATAGCAAAACTGTATGCAACACACATAATAAACACTTTATGTGTTTTACTGCATCATTGGCCAGCCATTGTTTTATTTTAAGTTTTTTCACAAAGCCCCAGTATGGATAGTGAACACAAAAGATCTGCTATTGTTTCCGAAGAGGACTACTCGGAAAAGCCTGCAGGCTACGTTCCCAGAGACTCTGCATCCTATCAGAGCAAAAAACCCCAGTACAGAATCAGCACCCAAGCTCGAACTGACCCGAAGAAAGTTGACATGGATAAAAAGAAGAAAAAGAAAAGAGAGGACTTGGATGCCAAGCCAGAGAAAGCAGAGCCGCAAATAATTATCCCAGCAAAAAGAGAGAGGAAAGGATTCCAGCTGATGTTTGTCGATGGGTCCGAGCTAACTGAGACAGTTGTAAAGGAGGAGCTGAAGAAACACCATATCATAACAGACACCCCCGCCAGTGAAGAAGCGAAAGAGAAAGAAGACACTGAGGTAGCAGCCAGTGAAAGAGAGAGCGAAGGTAAAGCAGGGATCTCCAAAGCCCATGGAGAGCACACAGAAGGAGCGAAAGGAGACTCTGCAGTTTCTTCAGAACAGAGCCTAAAGGCAGCAGAGAAGGAAAGCACCCCCGAGCAGAAGGAAGAGCCTGCAGCTAAGGCTCCTAAGCCAGAAGAGCCTGTTGTAGCGCCAATTAACTACGAAATAGTGAATGGAGTGCCCACGGGAACAGACCCAACAACGGGAGAGAAGCGAGCAGCGTGGAGCACAGACGCAATGAGCATGATGCGAGCCAATCTGTTCCAGAGCAGCAAGCCGCCTATTACATCAAGCTCCAGAGCATCTGCCCAGTCTCCCCGCATAAAAAAGAAGATTGCAGAAAAATCAGTTGAAAAGACAGCAGAAAAGACGGAGAAAGAGGCAGCCAGCAAGTTGGTAAAGGACATTCAGAAGATGAAGATAAAGACAGCAGATGCGCCTCTGGAGAAGGTAGAGGAGAAGAGAGCTCTTCCCAGTGAAGTACCTGAAATGGCGCCTGTAGAAGAAGTGGATGTGAAGAGTTCAGAAAAGAGCCAGCCAGAAGCACTGGAGACAGTCAGCCAGCAGGCAGAAGAATCACCCAGCACTCTCCTCTTCAAATCACTCGAGCACGAGGAAATAGTAGCACTTCCCATTGTGTACTCAAAGGAGCAGCTTATGTCGTACAAGAAGTTCTCTGACAGCATCCTAACAACCATCGACAAATCTATTTTCAACAAGTCCGCGATGTTCAGCAAGAAAAAGAAAGAGTTCAAAACCTTCAAGATGGGGAGCTTCAAAGACCCCAAGAAATCAGCTCCTGTCACAGTGTTTGCAAGCATTGAGCCGTATGTTGCTGAGTTTAACTTGGCTCTGAATCAGGTGTGCCAGAACAACATTGAAGAAGTAGCTAAGAGAATACTTGCGATCAAAGTCCCCACAGAAGAGGCGATGATTGAGCTGTCAACGGCATTCTTCAACAGAGCAATGCAGGAGCAGGCATACACTGCCATATACGCAGCCCTAGCAGAGATGATCCAGAAGAAGTTTAGGTCAGCTACAGAGGACTCATACGACGAAGAGAAGTACGAAAAAGACAAAGAAAAAGACGCGAACAAAGAAAGGAAGCCTCGCAGTAGGTTGTCAGTCTTTGGGAAGACTCTTGCCATGCTCTCCAAGAACGAGTTTGAGTCGCAGAGATCCTGGGCATCAGACCAGTCAGAACAAAAAGCCGTTAGCATGTCTGCTGAAAAACTAGCTGAAAGAGTTATGGAGATAAGCAGCAACAAAGAGAAAGAGTACGAGAGAATGAACGTAAAGAAGAAGGCAATTACAATAGTAAGATTTTTGATAGAGCTGTATCTGCAGGGATTCTTCACGGACACGATCATGCACTCAGCCACGGACTACCTCACGGAAGCAGACACCCCAGAGAATGTAGAGAAGATGTGCTACATCCTGAAGCACGCAGGAAAGAGGCTCGACCAGGAGGTGAACAGAGAGCACGTTGATAAATACATGTGCTGGCTCGAAAGGGTCTCTGAAGGCCTCAGCTCAAGGTACAGGTTCATGGTAGAGGACATTAGAGAGCTCAGAGAGAACAACTGGTGTCCAAAGGACGCTAGAAAGGCATCGGTGTCAGACGACGAGGACGGATGGAAGAGCAGCAAAACAAAAGAAAAGAAAAAGTTCGTTAAGGAGAAGGAAAGAGCGAAGAAAGACATAAAGCCACAAAAAGTGTCAGAAATGATTGAGTCCCAGGAGGACGAGTATAGAAGGATGGAGTCTGCTGTTGTGTCTACCCTCAAAAAGGCAAAAGACCTCTTTTCTGCTGCAGAGCAGGCCAGGCGGCTTGCTGCAGAGCAGGGGAGCAATGCAATGTTCTTTGCTGCGCTTATTAAGATAACCATCGAAGGCTACGGAGACACGCTGTCCAACGGCATGGAGCTCGTGAAGGAGTGGATCAGAGTCTCGCCAGTGGCCCTGCAGAAGAAAGACGAAGTATTTGAATACATAGACGAAATGATGCCAGATCTAGTAGATGACTCGCCCAATGCACCAGCCCACTTTGAAGCGCTCAAGAAAATCATTCACAAATAAACATTCTTGCATACTTCTCTTTTTATTTCCCTCCATTTCAGCTTATCTATTCGATGGTGCCGAAGACTCTGGATCTAATTCTCGTAGAGATATCCACTCAGCTGTCTACTCATTGTACTGAATATGGTGTCCGTTATGTTTGAAATTGCTGAAAATGAATTTGCATTTTGAGTTTGCAATATTATTTTCTTAAATATTTTTATCCCCTGCAAATGGGTAGAAACGAGTTTTCAGCTAGTCTAAGATCTATGACATACTCCGAAGTGGAGGGTATTCTGTCCGACAAAAAGATGCACGTTATGAAAATGAGAAATAACGTGAAAGGAGACGAGTACAAAAACACCGCAGAGTGGATAAACACCAAGAAAGACATCGCAAGATGCCTCGGGGTTCTGACTGAGAAGAAGAGAGCAGAGATAAAAGAAGAGTGCGAGCGCGAAAACAAGCCACTGCCAAAGTTCTTCACCAAGAAGCTCCCAAGAGCACAGAGAGTCAACATTTCCAAGAGCATTCTTAGAAAGTACTCCCAGGACAGAAAGCCCCTAAAGAGAAAGATTGTCGTTTTCACGCCCTAAACAGTTAGCCATTTTTCGTGTTGGCTCAGTAGAATAAACAATACTTTTAATTATTTTATAATAGCAAGATATTTTTGTGCCATGAATATTTGTGTTTTTCTTGCGCTGCTCGGGATCCTCTCGGTTTCCTGCAAAGAGAAAATCAGCTCCACGTACAAGAGCAAAATGAGTCTGTTCAGGCCGTACATAGACAGGACCACAGGCAGGCTGCCCTTTGGCGAGATGAAAGGAGACTGCAATGTTGTGTCAATTGGAGGCGATGCAGGGGTGCATCTGACATCCAGCAGAGAAGGATCCTCTGGGAGCATTAGCTCCAAGCATCCGCTCGAGATGAGAAACTGGAAGATGGATGTGCACATGCAGATTAAGCCAGGCGCAAAGGGTGCAGCCATCTGGATAATGAAGGACTTTGAGGCCGGCGATCTCTTCGGAGGAAGCTCTACGTTCAACGGGATGATGATATTTTTAGCTCTGGAGAAAAACAATTTAACGAATAGCTATCCCAGCATTGGAATAGCAACAGCGTACGGAGGAGCACCCGTTGTGCACTTTGAGAAAAAGATATCCTTTGTGAAAGACAGCCTTATTAGCCTGAACTTCTGGAATGGAACTCTGTCTGTCTCATACGGTGGAAGAGACAAAAAGGTAAATCTAGTTGATGAGCTGAGTCGCTTAACTGTTGACGATGGCAGCTTCATCACTGTCTCAGGAGAGATAAAAGAGGCCTTTGGGGACATAAGTGTAAAGACGATTTCGCTTTTCAGACTGTATACTTCGAACAAAAAGAGCTACAGCCAGTACGATCCTCCAAAGACAAGATCGCTGATGACCTGGGTTATTTTTGTTATTTTGATAGGAGCAGTTGGATACTATCTATACAAACAGAGAAGTAGCAAGCCAAAGCACAAGGGAATTCTGCAGCAATAAATAATTTGTGTTAAGAAGAGTTTTAGTTATTTCTGTATTCACATATCATAGACTGAAGAGAAGAAGATTCAGCCAACAGTAGTTAGCGGTAGAGAGCTATTGAGCTTTTTATTTGTTTGGCGTAGAATACTCTGCTGACTTTCTTGTGCAGTATCACTGAGTGATTTGCTCGTAATTCAAGCTCTGACCTGTAAAAAGCTAAACTAAATATTTTCTGGATGGTTTGCTTTCTCTACATTTGCACATGAATAAAAGACTTATGCAATCTTTTGTGACTCTCATAACAGCTGTACGATCTTACGCTCTATTTATATAGGTAGATAGCAACTCTATTGATTTTTAATCAGCAAAAGATAGCAGTATGATCAGTGTGTGAAAGAGTGAATATCAAATGAATATTTGCTTTATTATTAGCTTATTCGACATTGTAGTATGAGAAGATAGTAAACGTAGATTAGCATCTACCACCAATCTATGAATTGTAAATATAGTGCCTATAGTATGGCTGTTTTCCTTTTTAGCTCTTTTCCTTTGTGTACGAACTTCCCCCGGGATAGCTTCACTTCCTGCAGTGTGCCATAGTCCATTGCCTTTACCACCCCGTGCGACTCATCAGCTGTGGACAGCACTATGTTTCCAGACTCTCCCAGCGATAAAACCCTCCCATGGACAGTGTCTCCAGGCGAAAAGAGCTCATTCAATTTGTCGTCATCTTTTATTCCATAGAGTGCATCTTCTCTGTGTATCACAGCAGGCACCTCAACCGACTTTACGCCATTTATCATCTTAATCCTCAGAATGACGTAATTATACGCTATAAACTCAACAACTGCAGTGGCTGTGCTGTTGACATACGGGCGAACGAGCATTTCTCTGTATCCGTCTTGGCCCGGAAGTATCATGAAAGAATTAAAAATTTCATTATGAAAGCACAAACACCAACATACTCGATTCCAAGCATGCCCGTGAAGGAGATAGTGGAGTGCCTGTCCGAGAGCGGATTTAACATCCTGGTGACAGACATAACCCAGCCAAACCCTGCGTACATCACGCGGCTCTACGAAGGCGTATTGGGGATATTCCTCGAGCAGAGAATACCCGAGAACTTGGACGAGTCTACCTCCCTTCTTTTGATATACATGAACATGAAGAAGTTTTTGGAGAGGATAGGCCTAGGCCCTTTCCATCTGCGAGATATTCTTGCGCCTGATGCAGGCCGAACTATAAAGATACTCAGTGCAATAATTAACTTCGCCCTGTTCAAAGAGAGCAAAAGACACCTCCTAACAAATATATACAGGAAACAGGAGGAGATAGACATGCTAATAGAAGAAACAGACAGGAGCATAGAAAAGAATGAAATGATCCTGATGCAGAAGATGGGAGAGAAAGAGGAGGCCCTTATATTGATCAAAGAGATCACCAGAGATATATCAGAGAAAGAGGCGGAGATAATAAACTACCACAGAACACAGCAGGGAATGGCCATGGAAACAGAAGAGATAGGGAAAGAGCAGCAGAGAGTCAATGAGAGCATCAGCAACGAGAAGTGCGAAATAATGAAAATATCGCAGGAGATAACTAAGCTGCAGGCGCGGATAGTAAAAAA